CGATACGAGCCAATTTTTATTTATTTATTTACTTTCTTTTCGGTACATCCAGTTGCCACTCGGAAAGTTTGAATTCAATTTTAAATTTCTAATTTATTTCCTTGACGAGCTAAGACATATTTTATATAATTCGACCAATTAAAATTTCGTTTCGGCTCGCGAATATTCGCGAATATCGCGACGCGATGACGAAGTAATGAGGAAAATTTATATATATATATATATTAATAACACGTATCAGAGTGATGTAATAACGACGAAGAATGCAGTGTGACTAGGTATAAACGCTGTAAAGGTTTAATTAATGATCGTCGAGCTAATGATTCATCCGTTTAACAGCCACCGTATGGGAAGTTGAAGTCTGTGACAATTTCCCTGTTCCCTGGAGAATACAAGTTGAATTTTCGCCCAAGTCCATCGTAGTTACGATCTAGGGGACACATAGGAACGGACTTGCGGCGAGTTACCCGTCACGCAATTAACGTGCAGAAATTGAAGTACCAAAATGAGAGTGGAAGACGGGGCAGGAAGGGAACATGGACGCGGCGACTCGCGAAACGAGTTTAATCGCTTTGTGCCGCTGTTTAGAATTAAACGGCTGGAAAAGTCGCTCGAATCGAATATCAACGATTAAACGATACGCGGATGAACGTACGCGTCGTGCTATTATTATCGAATTATTACATAAAAATTATATTTTTTCGATGTTTTATATAATTGTCCTTAATTTATATTCTTCTAATTTCTAATATATATAACGCAAGTATATATTTCTGTAATGAAATACCGATTGTATTATACGAAATCAATTCGGATTGCGTATATTGTATACATATAACGATACTTATATTATTGCCGCGTGAAAGAGGCCTATTGGCACGTTCTATAAATACATAGTCGTATCAATAACGTTCATTCAATCGAGCAACACTGTTCATTCAACATCGTCTCGTATTTCTCGATGTTGCACTCGTTGGAAATTAAAACTAATTTGTTTCTTGTTCCGTTCGAGCTTC